AGTAGAATACGTGTGCAACGTGAACTGTCGAAGTATCGACTTTCATAGTTCCTACTTTATTATAAACTATTACAGTTCTGCTCTAACAACTGATAAATAGTATCATCGTGAACATTTGAATCGTGGAAACTCCACTGTCAGATTATTTTTTTACGATTCCAGCGACAACAAAACTCTGAAAAGGTCTTGCTCAAATAATGATTACATGGGTGCTTAACAAAGAACATCGATTCCCTCTTAACTTTCACGCTGTTACATCCTTATTGTAATCGTAAAAAAGGCTCGTAAATATAAAAGTTGAATTCACATCGGAAGCATTCCTTTTAGAACCTATGTATCGCTCCCGATGAGTACCATAAGCTCTTAAAAGTCTTACACCCTTCTTTTACCACCTGCTGAAATAGATTTTCAGATTTCTATCGCGTTACGTTCATCGGTCGAAGCTGTTTTCGTTCCGCCGTATTAACCGTGGTGCTAACAAGAACTGATATCGTAAAAACTATTTTATCGAACGCATAAATAAATATTAAAGCTGAAGAGATAGACGTAAGAACACTGTTTATTTAATATGTTCTCCAGTATTCTTAACCCTTTGCACTCGAAGCCATTTTAACTGTAAATCTAAAATAACTTTCCGACTTACAGTATTTCCATTTTGTAGGGCAAAGTGCATTTTATGCATACGAAATTTAAGCTCCGATGATATAAAATTGATCTTAGAATGTGATATGACAATTTTAGTGGTGCCTCAGTGTCACCACTCGAGTACAAAGGGTTAAATTCCATCTCCTAAATTCCCATCAAATAATTAGGTTGGAGCGTACGAAATGTCGGACTTTTAAATGAATTATAAAAACCCTATATCTTTTTTTGAAAAATGTTTATTTAATCAAAATATGGCCTCGCTTCGGTACACTTTTCCCAGCCGGTTTTTAACGTATAAACGCCATTTTCAACAAAGTTCTGGTCTTTCGAATAAATGTCACATAAACGTAATACATTAAAGCTTGCGATGCCTAAAATAGAAACAAATCGTGAAGTTATATAAAAATCTGGATTAACGTATCGACTGAAGACAACTTGCATGGATAGATGGCGACTTTACGTGCAAAGCCAGATGCGGAAATGCTTGTTGCAAATGAACGTCTGTGGGCGTCATAGAGACGTGATATTATATCGAGTCATGTGGGTGTGAATCAACAGTACGTCGATTCCAATAAGGAAAATAATTTACATTGAACTGTGTAAACAATTTAACGTAACTTCAGAATCAATTTTACTTATCATTGCACTATAGATAAGATATATCCCATATATAAATCCCATAAGTAGCTTAACTTTAATAAAAGATATTTTATTATATTGATTATCATATATTATATTATTATATTATTATATATATTTACTATATTACTTCTTCTTTGTAAACGAGAGCGTCAGGCATTGCAATTTTCAACTTTCACTTCACGTTTCAGAATAAACCCAATTATTTGTTAAATTTCGAATTCCTCATTAATTCATACATCGAAACTAATATTTGCTGGTTTCAAATTATATAAATTTTGTATACCCATGTAAGAAAGATTCGGATCGAAGAGGGTTAAGCTTCGTCCATTCATTTTTATCGTAAGTGTACGTGTCTAGCTATATTGTTTTGCCTAGCAGCGACAGATTCGGGGATAAAGATCATATTTCTAGCACGTTCATGCGTTAAGTACCTTTGACATCGGCACTTTCGCGAGGGAGACGATAGCTCGACGACTACGATCGAAGCTTCGTAATCGTGCTTCCCTATCCCAGCCACCCCCTGTCTTCCACTGACTGTCTGTGCCTACGATTCCACCCCCTTGCAAGAGAGACTCGATCGATGGAGCGTCGTCCGCGGTGACTAACCCGTCGACGGGCTCCCTTGCTCGTCAGGTAATCTACTGACGCACTCTCATGCACGCAAAACAGACACGCAAACACAAGCAAACGTGTCTTCGAGCGACGAGGATCGCACGGAAGGAGAAACAAAAGCATCGATCTGCACGCTAATAAAATTAATCCTTTTGGTACCAATGCGACGGTGCATCATCTTTCGGAAACGGGTGGGTCGTGCAGAACAAAATGTTCAGTTATTCTGACATATTTTTCTTGGTTCGAGCAGTGCTCTACTCTGTTCTACTGACAATGAGATGACTAAATTATTTGAGATATTTTGCAGGCAATAAGATAATTGATTTGGAAATAACGGTGCTCTTAACATTTTCTGATTTCATGCATCTTTTAACGAAAATGTGAAAAATGATATCAGCAATTTAGACAAGAAAAATGCAGTTTACCTGACCGATTTGATTCATTCGGCAATAAAAATATTTACCTAAGTAAACAGTTGTTACATGTGTTAATAAAAACATGATGCGTTAAGCACATGCAAATATCGCGAGAAAGGACGCTGTATTATTATTTCACGCACTAGATAATTACAATGAAATCTTTTTCTGGTGAAAATTCGTGGGAAAGTAACATATCGGATGAACCAGTGGTGACATTTTTCTGTTTCTGGCCCATTCTGGCCCCAGAGGATTTACCAACCGACTGTATTATTTACTCGAAATATATATTTTCTGCCACTGTACTTTCATATTTCCGTGAACCACTGCAATAAATTTGCGTAACGAATTCTTCATATATACGGCTTCAAATATTTTCACATCCCGGAGAACTGGAAGAGCAGAGATTACCATAGCTTAACATAGAGACAGGGCAAGATCATGGAAAAGGAAAGGAAAAGAATTCTTTTACCAGCTTGAAAATTCTATAACACATTCCCCGGGGAAATCAGGTATACAACTGCCTGGGCAAAAGGATGTCGGATCGTTTTCTGACTACGCTAAGTTACTCCCGAATGTGGAATCAGAGAAATGTGTATTGAACTATGCAGATCATTTTGGACATTATTGTAGCTTAACATTGAAGATATGATTACGATAACCAACAAATTTCTAGAAAATAAGTCAATTAAATTGCAAAGGGATGCAGTCGATTTGCCAAAAAATAAAGGAAATAGATATTAAGTTACGTCAATGTTCCACAAAAACAAACTGATAATTCTTATTTTCAAATCGCAATGCACCTATCATGAAGTACATTCTGCGGGCTTTACTCTAAATCCACATAAGCTTGAAAATCTTCACGAGAAAGGACGAAAAATAATTTTTTAGAATATTTTCATTTGAACGTTTATTTTAATGTGCACTCGATCATTATTTTTGGAGTTGTCTATATAATATGGAGTTGTCTATCGTAATTAATCTCAAATTTCGATATCGTATATTCTTTAAGCTTCCATTTGAGCTCTAGGTAGTTAAAAAATTTCAACGGTAAAGGATCAAAATATTATTTTTTATTCTAGTAAATTAGGTTTTCGAAGCTCAATTAGGGAGTCCATACAGCGCCAATTGACGCAGTGATAAAACGTTCAAACCGTTCGCTAAATTTACCAATAGAGTACACGTTTCTTTCAACTCAACAAATGGCGCCACTGTCTTATTCTAACTAAAATTTACCGCAAATGGTGTATAGAAAAAGACGAGGTATGAGAGTAGACTGGATAACATATGGGATTCCGTGTCACATGTTCTGAAATACCGATATTGCTAAAAACGAGAGGTTTTCTCGAGCCCTCTACCTAAATAGAACAGTCAGGTAGTGAACTACATAAGACTGCAACACAGAAATTTCGTTTGTATTTTACAACCTTGTGAGCTCTAAAAATCAATACACAATGTTGCCGCATGAGTTCCAGATTTTCTAGATCGACGAATTCTCCAGGCGAAGCTGATAATTCGGTTAATGTGGGGGGCATGAGGTGTAGTGGGAGACAATTCGTAGAAGATTTCGACAGGGTATGAAGTGGGGTAGGCGTATCCTCGCTTTTTCGAAGGTACTCTGATTGAGACTTTCTAGCTCCTCGAATTTTCAGGGCAAAGTTTATAGTTGATAATTCGGCTCAAAATTAAAATTTTATTTTTTCATTTCATAACATTCTTTGGTCAAGTTGTTGAAAGCCTATTAATGCCTATTAAGCCTACTAATGCCTGCGCTACCTAACTTGAGCCTAATCCAAATCTATCTCTTCGAACCGAAAGTTCAGCCGTTATTGTATACTTGTTACTGGTACGTGATCATGTTCGAAAAAAAGCAGTGGCTGAATGGTGGCTATTGACTCTCGTGGTTATTTCGTCGTATTATTCCGTAACGGAAATAATCAATAACGTCAAACATACAAAGTGATTTTTAAAGCACGAATTTATCGAACAATCGTTACATCGAAAATATTCTATTGATACATTTATTATTTCTAGCTGTTTTTAATAATAATTATAAGAAATTCTTTTCCTAATGAAAACTTCTAATACTCTCGTGTTTGTTTTACTATCTAATGTTTAGACGAAATTAACCAACACAACTCGTGATAAAGAAAGACTTTCGAAGCATAAATATATATTAGGTAATCCACTTTCACGTGGATATTAGTCATATACCAAGTACGTGTAAATATCCACAAAAATTATGTTTTCTCATACTTTAATAAAATTTTGACAATTAAATCAAAAACTGTTTTCAAGATTTATTTTCCGTATTTATTAAAAATATTAATCAAAATTAATTAAAAATTATTGCTTAACAAATGCAAAAAAATATTTAATTACCTAAATTTTAGAATGATTATTTTTTAAATATTTTTAGTATAAATTTCATTGCAATACTTCCAATGGTTTAAAAATTATAAGGAAATGTCACTGTATTTTTATTTGAATTGAGTTTCTTTTTCATTCCTAATAGAAAACGCCGGTGACTCCATCTCGTATTCATCCAGCAGCTACACATCTCTAGATAATATCATTTATATAATGACATCTGTACAACTGTGTGATACCGACCTGCTGAATTCGTAAAGTTACCCTAGCCTTCAATCACTAGGTACACATTTGAATCACCATTTGAAATACGCTAGCGCCACGGTAACATAAGGACCCAAGTGACTCCTATCTTCTATCATTGCAGTTTGATATAATAATAGTACGTGTGTTCGAAAAATTGTTATTTATTAAGTGTACGTAATTTTGAAAATTGTGTCTGAGTGTTCGCGTTGTGAATAATTTAACGATGGCAATGATTTCATACACCAACGATGGTAAGGATAATAGTGATGACTGTTTTTAGTGGACGTTTGATGTTTGGTTATGAGTTAACCTCGCAGAAACAATTTAAATTTCTGTCTTTTTTTCATTCAAGGGACGGTTAAAAAGAATTGTCCTTACATGGAAAAATGCTACCGAAAAAATCCGATTCACTTCAACGAGATGTCACATCCGCACCGTGAGTAATAATCATTTATTCCCCATTCCCTTGCACCTGCTTCCCCATTAAGGTAAGGAAGAAAAAAGTCTACTTTTTATTTCAGTGGAAAAGCTTGTAATAAATCAGTTAGAGGGAGAGATAGATGTGCCTGATGATGTAGGTTTTAATTGTACTGACAGGTCACTACTAATGGATCAATTAAAAGTATTACAAATGGTACTCAGAAAGCAAAACAATGATAGCAAAAATAGCATGCAATCTTTAACAAAAGTTTCCACTACCACAAATAAAAATCAAGAGTTAGGTCAATGTTTGAAGGACAAAGTAGAGAAGCATAAGCAAGAAACAATTAAAAGGAGGGATAATAAACTAAAGCAAATGGATGCAGAAGCAGAGTCACTTTTCAAAGCCTCTAACAGCAACTGCAGAAGCAGTTTAGATAATAATAAAGTAAATGTAATGAAGGAGGAATTGAATAATCTCAAGCTAGCAGAGGAAAGAATGCAAGATGATGATCTTTGCCAAAGAAAAAAAAGAGATAACAGTGGTCCTCACAGTAATGATCACAATGAATACAAAAAATCAAAGTTAAATCCTGATGAGGATGTTCTAGAATGTACTCAGACTTCGAAAAGAAGTACAGCCAGTAGCTCTAATTCTTCTTCTTCGAAGGGCATGTCTCTGATAGAAACTTTTCAACAATGTAATACATCAAAGTCAAGAATAGAACTCAGAAACAAAGCTATTAAAATGATGAAACAACAAGGTCTGAAGGTATCTGTAGTTGAGCCAGGAAATTTTGCCTTAAAATATGCTCTTTCAGCACCGTACCATTTGTTCTTCTCAAGGATACAGAACTCAAAAGAGACATACGACCAACAATGTTCGATAACTTTCCCTGAAATCCTAGACATTAGCTTGGGAGAAATAACTTCTAGTTTACAAATTAATTTCATGGTGGATGTTGGATGGTTGTGTTTACAATACTTGTTAGCTGGTCAGCGAACGGACATGTTAATTTTATACGCTGACAGGGTGGATGAGGAAAAATTGGGTCAGAACATCACCATGATTCCCATCGAAATGCCAAGCAAGTTTGGCTGTCATCACACTAAAATGATGATCTTGAAGTACAAAGATGATGGCATTAGAGTAGTAGTATCCACTGCAAACTTGTACTCGGACGACTGGGAGAACAGAACTCAAGGGTCCGTGAGATACTGTTCATAGTGACTTAATGTTTGTTTGTATCGAAGAAACAATCTGAAGGGATAAACAATTGGTTCTATTCTGTCCTGATCAGACTCTGGATATCGCCGCATCTGCCGCCACTGCCAGAATCTGCAAATCCCGGAGATGGAGAATCACCAACGGATTTTAAAAAGGATCTAGAACGTTACCTGAACACGTACAAGATGCCAGTTCTGACAGAGTGGACCTCTGCCGTCCGTAGAGCAGATTTCTCATCAGTGAACGTTGTCTTTATAGCCTCCGTCCCCGGGTCTCATAAAAATCGCGAGTCCGACCTATGGGGGCACCGGAAACTAGCATCTGTGCTCTCCAAGCATGCTACTTTGCCCCCCAATGCCCCTCAGTGGCCAATCGTGGCTCAGAGCTCCAGCATTGGTAGTCTTGGTCCCAAATATGATAGTTGGCTCCTGAAAGAGATTGTGCCTTCAATGTCTAGGGAAATAGCAGCAGGTTTAAAGAGTCATCCAAACTTCCACTTCATCTATCCTACAACTAGAAATTATATTGACAGCTTCGACTGCCGTGTTGGGTCCTGTTGCTTGCCTTACAGTAACCAAACGCATTCTAAGCAATTATGGTTTGAATCCTATCTATAGTAAGTGAGCATTCGGTATATATTTCCTTTGTAACGTTGCTCTCTACTTGGGAAACACGCTGAGGCAATTCAAAGCAATTGAAGATACTTTTCCTTGGATTTAATTCGCGTGTCACGTTGGGTGCATCGTGATTGATGAATAGCAAGGTGGTGGGAATGGGACATTAAGGAAGTATTAGCAACAGAGAACAAAATTTTCTGTTATTTAAAGTTCGAATGATCTGCGATTAACTGCATGTAATTGATACTAGAGAATGCGTTGTGTTTCTCAATTGGGGGAACCTTATAGAGGGAATGTTGCATCTAGTATTTTCGTTTATGTAATGAAACGTTCGATTGACTTCCTCAGCAAGTGGAAAGCTTCGCGTATGGCCAGAGACAAAGCCATGCCTCACATAAAATCATATACTAGATTCTCGCCGGATTTCAAGAAAATTCCATGGTTCGTCCTTACCAGCGCCAATTTGAGCAAAGCGGCGTGGGGCACATTCCGAAATAGTCATTTTATTCTGAGCTACGAAGCCGGCGTTATATTTCTTCCGAAATTCGTTGTACGTAAAAACTCTGTTAACGGACTGCGGATCTTTGCATTTCTATGAACCTATTCATGAAAATTGCAATCGAAACAATCAGAAAAATTGCAATCAAGCATTTTTAAACATTTCATTGAATAATTGAACTGTGAACACTGGATTGAGATGTTTACATTCTTATGGATTGGTTCATGAAAGCTGTTATGAGTAGAATTTCCTCTCCTTTTTTGGAGAGTTCTTTTGCACCGCAAAAAAGAATAATTTGGTCGTTTTTAAACATTTTTCTGTAACAAGGAAAAATGTTAAATTAAATGAAAAATATAAAACCCGCAGTCCGAAAATTATTGCTCTTCGTTCTCGCAGGACAAGAAAATAAACGTCCATCCTTTTAGACTGGAACAACGACATTTCCGGTTGAAGAAGAAGAGGACAATGTACCTGTGTTCCCCATTCCATACGATAGGCCTTTAACAAAATATGAAACTTGTGACAAGCCATTCGTCATGGATGCCATGTGACCTCCACTCGTGAGTAAATGGATCTTGGAAGCTGTACAAAGTGTATTCAGACTATGCATATGGAATCTTATTTTGTAACTTATTATGCAAAGTGTACCAGAGAATTTTTTAAATAAACGTTTATTGCTTTTGTAGTAAACACCGTTAAGATTTCTATAGGATTGCATCTCCGCCATTGTTTATAAATCCCCATATGCAAGCTTCCGTATCTGATCAGTCATAAAGAAATGTAGGTCGGTAACGTTCGGACAAAGATTCTTCCAGACATCTAAAGGCCAAAAGTTAGCTATACATATATCTATCGGATCTAATCGGCTTCAGCATTGACATTTAAATCCTATAAGAATCTTGTACTGAATGAAACTGTCTCGCTTCCGTTTCACGCATGACCCGGCGATAGAAAGTAACCTTTGACTTTCCTCCTGGAAGAACAGAGGTTTTATTCAGCACTTCCGGTACCATAAGGGGCTTCTGTAACAAAATATATGGTCTAATATCCTGATGTTCTATAACATGAAACGTTCCTTCGTCGAGCTATGAAATTATATTGGGTTGGCAACTAAGTAATTGCCGATTTCAGTTATAGATGTCCCTCACTCCCATTTTTATGATATCCGTAAATGTTATATTATAAAATTATTATTATTATTATTATGTTATTTTTTATTATCCGTGAATGTTAGCAACTGGACAAATTGAATGCAGCGGTCAAGGAAAAGCGACCAGAATTGGTCAATCGTAAAGGTGTCATTTTCCAGCAGGACAATGCTAAGCCGCACACGTCTTTGTCCACTCGGCAAAAATTGATGGATATTGGTTGGGAATTGATGTTACACCCACCATATAGCCCTGATCTCGCGCCATCGGATTACCACTTATTTCGATCCCTGGACAACTCCCTTCGTGGTAAAACTTTTAATGACGATGACGCTGTAAAATCTCACTTAAGTCAGTTTTTGGCCGAAAAGGATCAGACTTTCTACGAGCGTGGAATTTTCAAGTTGTCAGAGAGATGGCAAAAGGTCATCGAACAAAATGGAAAATACATTACAGATTAAATTTCATTCCAAGTAAAAAAA